CCCCAAAACCCCAAAACCCCACGAGTCAGTTATAATGTGAATTTGTATCAAATCAAAAGCATTAATCAATTGTAATTATTGATCTCTTTATTATTCATAAGTTTTTTGTCATCTTGACCTTGGCTAATTTTGAAAAACATGATATTTCTAATAGCACCATTATCATTCGAAACCTTTTTCATATTAAGCAAATATTGCTTAGTCATTTTTATATTCCCAGCATTTTTCATTTCATTAGCTAAACCCTTACTTCTCCTGCTTGATGGACTCTTGCTTAAGCTTTTCTCATTTCGTGAATTCATATAAGTCTTCCTATTTATAATGCTGCTTTAGGGAGTGTTTTGTTAAGTGTTAGCACAAGTTGAAAACGCTCTCTAACTCTTCTTGAAATAGTCAGAGCTTCTAAACATTTTCATACCCTCAGGTTGAGGTTGATCTACCTATTACATTTTGAAATACGATTTATCAATCTTTTTCTTTTGCTCTTTCAATTATTGGAAAAATTTGTGAAACTTCTGTGATGAAAGATATCCAGAGAATAGAGGACTATCTGGCTATGGTCTTTGCTTAATATCAAGCTGATTTTTATAAAGCAATTTTTTCTCTGACTCTGAGCGTTGCAAAAATGTGAATTTTTTTGATAGAGTTTTTATTAAATCAGGTGCAAATTCTTATTAATCTTGATTTTAAGGTTAATTAATAGACTAGATACTTTTTCTCGAAGCCTATTATGACTAAAGCAGTCTTGGTATGTTTTAATTTTGAAATGATCACCTGTTAGATTAAACTTATCTATCTGTTTTTGCCAGTTGTTCAGAATAGAGATTTCTTGATGGCATAATCCTTTTTAGCTAATTGGATTTTCTTTCTGTTAAATTTTGAGAATCACTCAAATAATACAAATTTCTCTTATTTTCATAATCATCAACGACTTGTTCAATCTCTATCTTAATTAGCTTATTTTTTGTTGGCTATTCCTGCTCTTGTTTTGTTTCTGATTATTTTCTGTCAGAGGAATATCTATAAGATGATTTTTTACTAAAATCTATATCTAGAAAGTCATTAATGTTTTCCATATATTCTTCTTTGACCTCTTTAATTTAATCTACATTGTTATTACCTAAATTCAAAGCACTAAAGAAATTTGCTTTTTTATTCGTTTTTTCCTTTAAACCAGGAAAATATTCAGCATTTACTTCATTCTAAGGACTGCTTGGTCTATAAGCTAAATTATTTTCGCTTTCAATTATGATTGATTCTTGCAGTTAGCTTCCTTCTTCCATTAGACTATCAAGTGAAATTGCCTGAGTCTAAGTTTAGTTATTTTAAGATTCCTGTATTGTTGCTAAAGTGTTATTCCTAATTACTCTGCCAAGCATTTTCTATGTCATCAAATGAACAACTTTCAAATCTTTTGAATTTTCAGCATTCTTACAAGAAGTTTTTGGCATTAAAGGTTAGTTTTTATTCTTTTCATCCTGATTTTTTGAATGATTTTTATTTTGAAAATGCTTAGCCATCTTTATCTATCGGTAAATGTAGTTATCACTATTAAGCTTGTTATCAAGATTTTTGTTAATCATAAATAGCTACTCAAATTTATTTATATCGTCCTGCCATTTATCAAGATTATTATCTGATTTATCGATTTCTTCTAATAGTTTATCTCTCTGTGTTTTCTTAGACAAATAATCCATAAGTGTATTAAGGTTAAAGGGAAGGAATACTCGAGGAATTACCCCATTCCTTTTGGCCATTTCTCTCCTTAATCGTTTCATTATTTTTCGAAATTCTGCAAAAAATTATGTAAATATTTCAAGTTATAGTAAATAAAATTGAAGTGAATCACTAAATAGAGTAGTCTACTAATTTAAACTTACTATGATTGGCGGTTTAATTACTGGCGAAGTTGATAAACTCCTCAAGAGTCATTTCACCATGCTTTTTTGGGTTACCTAACTCAAAAAGTTCCTAAAGCTCCTCCTTTTCAATGTAAATTTGATTCTGTTAAAACATATCGAACAGTTCATTGACATCTAAAGTTTATGAACCATCTTCATCAAACTGATTAAAGACATTCTCTACTTCATAATGTTTCTTCAGCTCAAACTTAGTTTTCTTATACATTATCTTTGCCTTTTCAGGACAATGTTTTTTAACCCATAGAATTGTTTCAAAGGGAATTTTAGTCTGTTGCTTTGCTGCTTAATTTTAAGTTTTTTCCATATATTTGTTATGTTTAGACTTTAAATATTTCTAATTAACAATCAATCAGCCAGCAACTATTTCGAAGTTTATTTATTTACTTTTATATTTCTTTATAAATAACCCAATTGCAAATTATGGGGTTTTGGGGTTTTGGGGTTTTGGGG